GAAACACGTCACGGGAAAGGCATTTCCACATCCTTACAACCCGGTTCAAGTAGGGAATTCAAAAACTCAAATACAAGTGTGCACTGTTAAGAAAAAGGAGAGAAGAGGCAGCATTATATTTTCTATGCCTACTACATAACATCGTATATTGCCGTGTGGTCCCGGCATTGAATGGGCCACCCCTTTCTTCCAGTGGATGTCGTAACAGGCGACTAAGACAACTTAGTGGTCAAAGGATGGGCAGCAGCGTCCCTCTTAAGACATAACCAAATGCGTAACTGCGGTTGCCAACCTGCTTGCAAAATGTAACGATTATTGGCAAATCCTCCCTTCTATGGGGAAGGTCTATGTCCAGTAGTGGACAGTTTACGGCTGATATAATAGTAATAATAATAATAAATTCAAACCAGAATATTGAGTTAATTCAAAGTGGAATATTGAATAGTGGCATGTTCAAATTGCGTACTATGTTGGGAATTTCAGACTCTATCATCTTTAACGATTTCCATATCTCACTGAGTTCCATGGAATCTCTTCACTCTGGCTTGTAAGATATCCAGTCTGAATCATAGGCCATTATAATTGACAACTGTAGAAATACGAGGAAAGTGAATTTTATGTTTAATTACCATACTCGTTAGTATATAATGGTATAATGCTACACATTTGAAACTATCATGACAAATAAAATACCGCAATAATGTATGTAATTTACTTACTATACACTATTTATGAATATAATAAAAAACGAGTAAATTATTGTCGATTAAATTTTATAATTTTTTATACATCAATTTCAACTGTTCGATGTTTAAATTAATAACTAAAGATTATAACAGACAAGCGAAATACTACTCTTGACAAATATCTCTATTCCAATAAGCAACGCCGGAAGCGATAACAAAACATAGGTACTCCTAGGTATACCTGTGAATTGCGCAGCTTCTGGGTGGCGACATGCTGAGTTGGAATTATAAGTAAAACTTACGTGTGGTCGTGTACCTGATGTTGCATATTACGATGTAAGTACTTGTAATAATAATTATAAACAATGAACGAATCATTTGCAGATGTTGATAATTCCACTCCAGCAGTGAAGTTTAGTGGAAGAGCTAAAGTGAGTATAGATATAGCTCTGATTGTGTACTCACCTAGTCGCTTCTGAATCATATGGCATCGGCTCTCAATTCACAAATACTGGACATTGAGGGCAGATTATGCTTTTTAAAGAAATACAAATAGAAAGCCCTCAATTCACTTATATTTCATACGTGTGTATATTACACGATGTCTTCACTAATTCTGAACAAAAGTTGATAGTATTGTTACTTCCTTCATTACTACCCTTCCTTTATTGTCTCGAGTTAATAATTTTGTTACAATGAAAACTACTGAGCTTTATACAGAGCAAACTCTTTATCTTTATCAATCATATTATTCGAATTGATCCGTGTACGTTGTAATATTATAATTAGGATCTCTGTCAGTCAGCCTTTCCAAATACCATATACCTACAGAAAACGTTAGTAAATATGCACGATAAGATAGAGCAAATTATAATTATCATAATTAGTTGACATAAATTTTTCACAGAAATCCACTAATGGTATTTTTCTGAACCCAATTTTTTTTTCTATTTATATTTCAACCTAGTACTTCAATATGTAGCAATTTACATCTGCATATTTTTGGGTGAATATTATGTAATTTATTTACTTATTGTAAACCAACGTTGATGAGTTTTAATGAAAAAGGTTTACACTTCCACCGTGTGTGTGATCCCATACAAATATTATTACGATCATACGGCGTTTCCTATTTGTATAATTTATTATTTAATATTCGGAGAGAAAACTGAGATATTCTCAAGTGAAATCTAAATTTATATGCTTTTAACTTAGAAAATATATGATTTGCCAAGTTAAAACTGAATTGAGCGCGCCATTGTCCGCGCGTTACAATATTTCCCATACTCATGGGACTTTGAGGAAACCATTTCTTGATGAACGAACATCTACACTATTATGACATTAAACAATCTTATATCCCAGCCTGCTTACATTAAGCGTGACCATTTAATTAACAAAGATTGTCTACAACGTTCCTACACGACTTTATACACTGGACTGCTCCATTGTCAGTAAGAATACAATTATATTCCTTATTCTTAATACAACAAACTATGAAATATAACATAAAAACATTTTTGATTTGTTAGTTATCCACTTAGGTCTGTAATGGGTGATAATGAAATGGTCACCCCAACAGCGCTAACAGTATATGCTGGCGGGGTCCTAGTGAGTAATAATATATAAGGATGATCAGTTAACACGCCGTGCTGTATTCACCTAGAATTAAGCACAGTGGTTTCCGTTTGGGATGGACCTGACAGGACACGATTGAAAGAATCAATACGGTTTAAAAGAAGGTGACCTGCCAGAGTATATTGTTAGCAATGGGCCCCTAGAACCCATCATTAATAATCCTTTCCCCAACCCCGCCTTCTAGGGTAATCTATATATATATAATCTTGTGTTAAAGTGTTCATTATCGAACTTCTTCGAAATGGCTTGCTAGCTCCGAAATTTTTTGTGTATATTTGGCAGGCCTTAGAATAGGTTGTAGGCTATTTTTTGTACTCCTAAGTGATAAGGGTGGTCAAACAACGTTTGCCGGATTAGTTAGTTTTAATATATATTTAGTATATATATTTAAACTAACTAGCTTAAGAGCACAGCACTGAATATTTTTTTTTATTTTTTTAATTAGATATTTTACCAAAGGGAGACTTTGTACAAAAGTCGTTTGCTTGGACACCTCTGTCCCATTCGTGTTTCAACCGTAAAACAGTTGTCTTTGCATGGCTGTCTTTTGGTTTGAAGGGTGGGATATGGCGTGAATTTACATGGTATAATATATATATGGTATAAAACTTAATAAATTAAAGGATAAAATAAATGAAAAAGCGAAAATAACAATTCTGAGGTTAGAGTAACTTGTATTATTACATTTCCGAGTTCAAAAAGCTGTAGTTTATTTGCATAATCAAAACTCTCTTTATTAAAATACATTATCGTCACTTAGGCAATCTTATCACGATCGCATTGTAGGTACCTGCGTACCTGCTGTTATCACTTGTCAGTGTGCCCGTATGTGATAAAACATGATAAAACCAATGAAATGATTCATGTCAGACGAAACACAATACTATGTACCTTCATTGGATACAATGGATATTAAACCTCTTTTCAGCGTTAACTACCTTTTAAATTTTAAGATATTTACCTATTTATTTAGTTCAAGGGTTCCATGTTCGTATTTTTTGTACCTGTTCCTACCAACATTTATTTAAAATTTTTATTCAACTACGGCAAAGTAATTTCATTAGTCTTATACTTGCAGAAGTTAGTGGTGGTAACATTGTCTAAAAATAACTATGATAAGAAAACGAAATATAATCAGGATGCTGATAAACACTTATGTTACAAAAAGGCAGGTGCTTTAAAGTTACACGCTTATCAGTTTTGCAATACCATTTAAGTGTGTACGACTGTACCAGTATTATTATTGTATAGGTAAGTAGGAAGTTAACATTTGGACTAGACAAAGAAAACCGTGATTAAGATTATAAAAGGAACTTAGTATATATATTTACGTATATTATAATATATGCAAATAACTGTATATAGTGACGGGTAGTGTTTGAAACCATAAAAATGCTGTGGTTTCATTATGCAAGCAGCATTAAGTCGATACTCTCATAGGTAGAACCTAAGTATTAATGTTACTTTATATACGTAGTTACTAGATACCTGATAAATATAAACATGTTGACAAGTTGTAATCTAGACGAGAGATAATACGACAGGTAGATACCTACCTAGACGAGTTCATCCCTACTATGTATTAGGCATGTGCAAATTTGTAAATATTAAATAAAAAGCTGAACTGATTCAAATTAAATTTGATACACGGATAGACCATAGACTAAATAAACACATACCATATTTTTATTCCATTTCCCATGGGCATAGTTGACAGATACTGCTAGTATTATAAATATGAATGTTTATAATTTGTAGGTAGGTATGTTTGTTAATCAAGCAGACTATGAATGAAATTTAGTACGCAGACTATAAGAGGTATCTATAAGAACTACACTCGAGGATATTCCTTAAGTTTATTTACTATGTACAAGTATATTACTATATATCATGTTTTTTCTATGTATGGACATTCGACTTCTACAGTTTTTTTATATGTATAGATATAGATTATTATACTACTATCTCATGGACTAGGTACGTTTTTCCAAAATAATGCGTGGTCAAAACTACGGATTAAATCTTGTTAAGGTTAATATTGGTAAACATTATTGGTAGGTAGAAATGTTTATCATTTGGTAAGTATATTAGATAAGTGTAACATGCAAGTACAGTGACAATAGCGTGTAAAATTAAAACCAGAAGTATCTATTTACTAATAATTGATTTAGTGCCTTGACAGGTAAAATAAGAAGTAAAATAAATTCGGTCTAGCGCGAGGTAAAAAAACTTTACTTCCTCTGAATGCTATAGAACATACAACTATATTAAATTTTTATTTCACTTGATTTCACGGGTATTGATTTACGTAGTATGTTAACCTAACATACGTACATACATACCTATATACAATTAACAATACGTTAATAAATGGTTCATATCATTGATTCCATATGCACATATACAGAAATGATATAGGCAGTACGATAGGTACTGCCTATATTTCGGTTTTTTATACAATTGAAAGGATCCATTATAATACTAAATAAAAGTAGGTACCTAAATATTTGCAGTCAAGGTAGGTAGATTAGGTACCTACCTATATACATAGCTTTAGCAATAAGTATATGCTTTAGAAACATTCTCTTTTGCCATAAGAATAAATTATTCTTATGCTTTTACATTATCCTCTATGCTTAAATAAAAACGAATTGTTAAAATGTAAATCTGACTTACTTGAGATAATAGACTTGTCCTTCAGGTGTTCGAGCTTGCTCCCAACCAGGTGGAAGTGGGCCAAGTTCATCTGGAATATGTGTTGCGACATCATAGGACCTCTGTTTCGTGTGCTGATGATGCAGCGGAGGTTGTTGAGTCTGTTGACCCGCTGCATAAGTCTGTTGTAAACTAGCTGGTGACGAATGTGCCCGAGAGTGCGAAACTGGTGCGGCGCCAGTCGCTGACGACGACCCGAACGCAGAATCAGCCGAGTTTTCTCGCGAGTGAGACACAGATGGCGACTTGGAACCGGTTGACGGCGGGTTAAAGAACGACTTTGGAAGCTGTCGCATACGGAGAGGCACCTGTAGCGGCCGTTTCGAGTCCGGCTTAAGCACTGTGTCGAACAATGACTGTAGAACCGAGTCAGAATCCTGGTCCACACGGAGGACCAGGTTCGATTTCTGTTCACCGTCCGAATTGAGAGCCATAATTACGTCGGAACGAAGAAATCTCGAAACCGACCTGGCCCACCGCTGTGACACAACACTAGCACGCGACGGGCTGGCGCGGCGCCACCCAACGTCTCTACTATAAAGCGCTCGTTGCGCGACTGTGACTGACTGACGGCACTGACGCATGCCCCGCCCGCACCGCGCGAATCTCCCTGCCCACGCGCACCCGCCGCACTACCCGCACAGCAGACCGGTCTTCAAATACAATACCCATTACCCTGCTTTGCTTATCCATCACTCCTTCGGGTTGGGTGGTTGGGCATAAGGTACATAGGTAGGAACAGCACGTTTTTAATGTATACCACTAAGATCCCTTGACTCAGACATGGTCGATTTGTAGGTACATTAAATTCATATTTTACATTATGTACCTATACTCATTTAATCCCAATTATTATTCATAGGTAATAGGTATATATGTACTACTTAGATTATATAAATAGAATGTCTCCATACAAATGCTTCTAGAAAAGCAGGTCAACCTTTTCATAAAATTTTACATGATAAATTATTATGAGTGATTCCTTTATAACTTCTATATGTATTTTGTCTTATAAATTATGCACCTTTTTATTGCGTCAAAACTAATTTTGTTTATTAAATATAGATACGTCAAGGTATATTGTGTGCAAGGTATATAGAATACTAATAAAAAAACGAGTCACCTAATTAGCTGACAAAAAGTTGTCCCGTTTTTCGGACTTAATGCTCTATCTATATAATAATATAACCTACTACTATGCTTGACTTGCCCTCAGTCACCTGTATCATAGACGATGAGTATTTAATATAAGGTATAAACCTTCTGATATAAGTTTTTCTGGAAGAAAACGGTTAACGATTAACCACCACTTTCACTACTACCTTTTTCAATATTTTAGCATTATTAGTATATACAGTATATTAGTACATGGATGGACCGTGTGAAAGATAATATGGCTAGAATGGGAGTGAATATGAAATAGAGATAATTGATTAACATCGATATATCGAATTTATTCGATGTTTTCCATACGATATATCGGATTGATTCGATGTTTTGACAAATGTTTTTGTATTCGATATATCGATATATTTGTTCATAGAAACATCAAATATTTCCTTTTTTATTTTTTTGTCGAATCTATTAAAAACCTAAATTATTTTAAAACTACTTGATAACTTGAATTTTAAATAAGGTTCATTAAGATATCACTGTCTTAATCACAGATCATTTATACATTAATTATTATTGTACATTCTGTTTAATTACCTAATACTCTCTTTTTGCTATTTTCCAGTAACGCAACCAAATCATTGTTTTGATTGGTTAGACAAGTTTATGTAAAACTTTTACTCGTAGCGAGTATAATTAAATACTCTAAATACCTAACTAAATGAGATGACGCACCATCTTATTGCTAGTTCGAAATTGAAAAGGGATGTAATGTTGTATTCCTATCATGTTTATGAATTCTCTACTTGTTTGTGACAGTGTTTTATATTGAAGATATAAACGACCTCTTATATTATAATACATTTTATAATAATAAATATATTTCCTATTTTATTCTTATAAATGCTATATCATTATAATAAAGTAAGTAGTTATTTGATATGTTATATAGCACTGCTGACGTACCACAAACAAATATCACAAACTTTGCGCATTTCGCTGAAAAATGTAATATTAATTAAACTTTTATGAAAAGTATTCGATAGTGAAAAAATATCGATGTTTTCTAGCGTTATATCGATAAACATCAATGCTAGGATCCGATGTTTTACATCGAATATAAATATCGATATATTTTTTAAGTGGATACCCCTAATATGAAAATAACTTCGAATAGAGATGAATACAAAACTCAATATTACACCGACCTCAAGTAAGTAATTAGGATAAGGGCAAGTAGGAAGATGATAATAATTTTGGTAATATTAATGAAATAAAGCGATAATGAAATACCTTCTTGAATTAGGTAAATAGGTTAACAGATTTATAGCCACTTTGTACTTGATAAATTTAAAATTCATTGAATTGGTTGTATTGATTTCATGAATTAGTTCCGTTTTTACCATTAAAAAGAAAGCAGTAGTAGTTGTCGCTGAAAAGTTCATTTAACCCATCTAGGGACTAAAAAGTAATTGTGCTACGTACTATAATTTTTTTACAATGAGGTATCGTTCAAGCCTGTGACAGTTGGAATGACATGTTTCTATGAAACTAACATAGTTTCACCAAGCTGTAAAAAATTTATTACGGCAAATCGTGGTCATCTTGAATAAGCGTTATGTTAGTTAGATTTATGGCGCTATATAAAATATAGCGCTTGGAGGGGAAGGGGAGGGGAGAATTGTTAGTAATGTGGACTACCGGTCCCATTGTTAGCAATATGCCCTGTCAGATCGACCTTAACGTGGTCCCCCTGGAAATTCGTACTGAATTTGAGGTATATTAATCACGATGGGCTAACTGACCTGCCTTTTCATTTTCTTTATCATCACTCATTAGTGCCTCGTCAGAGTATCCCGTTAGCGCAGGCGCAGTTAACATTCCATTATCATCCATTAAAAAAATATATATAGCGCTTCACTTATAAACATTTTTTTCAAATATTAAGGTAACTATAACAGTCGGCAACTAGCACATGACACCTATAGTATTACAGACGTCCATAAGTTACAGTGGTTGTTTAGTATAAATACAATTAAATTTTACATTATTGTATTTTATAATTAATTTATTTTTTCATATAGTAGCGGAGCTAATTGCTTTATTATAAATTTTGGTGATCTTGTAAAATAAATTAAAATCTATCAGCGTTGTTCCTACCATGGCTCCTACTATTTGTTGTTATGAACCGAATTTTAAGAGGTTTTTTTATCATTGTACACGAAAAAAAATCTTTAGTATAAAATTTGTGTTATCTCTTAACCGAATTTAAAAATGTTATATGATAAACTCACTAAGTTTCTAGTAGTTACTGAACACTATAAACTACATAGAGATGCTAACATGTGTCCAATACTACGAATATTAAATTGCTTTATATATCAATACTGTTGCTAATAAATTAATGCTATGATGGTAGCTTAAATAAATTTTCCAATATCGTGAATATAATGACAGTGCCAAGTCACATAGTATTTCTAATCTGTGGTACTTACCTACTCTATGCTATTTATTATACAGATCGGTCTGTGCATGCATTGCAATTTGTGACATTTGACATTGTTTGGCATACTAAAGTCGGCGAGTTTGCGCAATGTTACTTTGTTCTTCTTTATACTCGTTTATGCCCTACGAAAATTATCAATAATAATGAAGTATACAAAGCTCGACTCGCTATCTCGCAACGCGCATGCGTTGTCACTCATTGGAAAAAAATCATTACATTATACTTGGTACATGTTAGCTATGCTGCCCTTAGATACCTAGTAGATAATCATGGCTGTGGATCTTCAGGCCAGTTTTGAAAGATGCTGTCGTCTTTGCGCAGAAGAACAGGAAGTTACAATCATGATATTCAGTGCTGAAGCTGAAGCTATGCTTCTACAGAACAAGCTTAACCACTATTTGTTGATTGAGGTAAGATAATAGGGGCATTATTGGAGTTACCTAATAATTATTGTCTCATCTGTTTAATTCAAATGACTTCATACGACTGCAGGTTGACGAGGATGACAAATTACCAAAAAATATTTGTTTAAAATGTTGTACAAAACTGCAAACAGTATGTGAATTTATTGACACTGCTCGCAAATCACAAGAAGTACTTCTCAAGAGTAGTCTACTGCTGGAACAATACAATATTAACAAATGTGAAGGTGTAAATTTAAATAAACCTATTAAATCTGAATCAGATGCACACTCTGATGATGACAGCAAATTCACAGGAATGGAAGTTAGTGTTGATCCCATGATGGTTTTACAAAATTCTGATGAGGCGTTGTCGCCTATAAATGATGAGAATTCAACAATAACAGAGGATGTAACTCATTTATATACAGTAGACAGTGAAAATCTTAGTATAAAATTAATAAGAAAAGGTGATTCACAATGTGAAACTAAGTCAAATTCAGACGATGGTAAAAAGGACTCGAGTTTAAAACCTTTCCCATGTACCACTTGCGATAGAAGTTTTTTTACAGAATTGGCCCTTAAAAATCATTCTTGGATACATTATAATGATGAGAAACCTCATAAACAATACAAATGTAGTTCATGTGAAGAAGACTTTGATTTAAAATATGATTTTATACAACATTTAAAACAACACAAAACAATGGGTCTCTGTCAATTGTGCGGAAGGAGGTAAGTTATACAATTTAATTTTTGAGTAATAATTTCTTAATGGATAAATAATTACCACTAAAAATATTACACAGTACTAGCTGAGTCCTAAACTAAGCAGAGCTTATACTACTGTAGATACTAGACAGGTGATAGATGTACTTACATATCCTTTTATAAATCATTGTCTTACCCTAATCCCAATTATTATTTAGGGTTGCCATAATATGTTTATATTACAAAAAGATTTGGATTATAGTTTTACGATTGGCCATCTGCCAGATGTTAACCCTCTTTGAGAATCTTTTTATAAATACATATAATATTATACATAGAAAATAGCGTTATTATTATAAAATATTTTTATTGAAAGGTAAGTCCTGTGTTAAACTACTAAACCACCAAGGTTGTCATAACTTCATAATGATAATGATATGAAGCAATTGTGAGTATCTCAATTTTGGGAATGAACTTTTTTAAATTGACAGGGATATGTGTGTTCTGATTTGTGCGTCCAGATATTTGTTGGCTGGCATCTCGTAAACCAGTGTGTACCAGTCATAGCTTAAGAACCAGGCCAGAACCAATTACTTTGGTTGTGTGGTACTATATATTTACCCTTTTTTTTACAAGTTTTAATAACAAGTAGGTGGCCTACCTGTTGGAAAGTGATAACTGTCACATATAGAAAATATATATGCACCAAATTATCTATGAGTTACATAAATTACTACATATGGGTTTTTTAATGGGTGGTAATGGAATGGTAACCCCGCCTGTGCTATCGGTATACACTGGCGGGGCACCAGTGAGGGATGATAGGTGACGATGAAAGCAGGTCAGTTAGCCCATCATGACAATTTCCATTAGAATGAACCATGATGGTTTCCAGGGAGAACCGCATGGAAGTAAACCTGATAGGGTATATTGCTAGCAATGGGTCAGTTAGACCCCATTACTAACAATCTCTTTTCCCCCTACTACATATGAGTATGTATATCCATCTTCAGCTTACATATCTGTAAGTTAAATATTGATGGACCTATTTATGAGTACTTTTTTTTTCTAATAAGCTGTTTTAAAAGTAGATTTTTTATTGTTATAACATCAATAAAAACAAAAAGAATATAGAACAAGATTAATGTTTTATAATTAATCCTTTCCATTTTAAGATAAGACAGCCCATCATTGCCTCAATATTTTTTATATTGTATATTTATGTAACCAAGTAATCCTTTACTTCTTAAAGCATAATTCAATAGAGATTTGATTTATTTTTTAATACAAATGACATGGCAAAAAGGACCCTTATAATTTGCAATAGCTTCTGCTATTATTGGCCCACATGTAATGCAAAAAAAAATAACTTCTTAAAATTTTATAACGCACCTTCTAGGCAAGTGGGATATTATATGAAAGGAGTTAATTTGTACTTTTTAAAACCATTTCTTTTATTATTCTTATGTCATGTAATTTTTACTTATGATTGAAATGCCTTTCCTCTGTAGGAGCCTTATTTCATTATATAAAATCAACAAGTAAGATTAATGTAAATGGTCAATTAAAAGATATGTATTTTTCAGTTTCAGGACTGAAAAAAATTTAGATGCTCACATGTCTGCACACTTGTCATCTGGTAAATCATATACATGTAAAGTGTGTGGGCGTTCATATAGCACAATGAGTAATTTAAGAACGCATAGCATTACGCATAGTAACGAGAGGCCTTATCACTGTCATCTTTGCAAGAAAAGTTTTAAACGTAATCAGGATTTAAAGGTAAGAACAAAATAAAACTGATTGAATGAAAATGGCGAATAGAATTCACATGCCAAGGGTTCCATACATAGATATAGGATAAAAAGACCTTATGTATAAAAATGTTTATTTTATTTAGTTATATGATTAGAATTATTTTGTTTAATTCCACTGCCATTAATATGTGACTGCCAACACTTGTAGATTGATTACCACTGTTGCTAACAGAAGTTCTACAATCTTCCATATTATAAATCAATCTCCGAATGTCACTCTGATCACACATGTTCTGCTACACGTTTTCCAAATAGCGAAAGTAATTGTATTCAATCTTTTCATAGTTTGGGTGCCGAACGGTTAACACAGTGATCTAATAATTTGCCTCAAGACTCTTTTTTTAAAAATGAAACACCAGTGATATGGACCTTCGTAAAATAAGATCTAGTACAGTAAAATATTTATTTTAATTCTTAAAAGAAAGTTATTTAAAAAGAGTTTTTTTTTTTTGTGTGGTGTTTTAACTACAATTATAGCCCAAACTTAGAATTTGAAATTGCAATATTAATAATAATAATTATTAGCTATCTCAATAGTAACCATAATTAATATTGTTATTTAAAATTTCTTATTTCGAGTTATTAATTATAGCCCAAAATAAGAAATTTTAAATAAGTAGTTACAAATTGGACTCATAAATTTCATTTTGTAGGGTTTTTGATAATTTCTCATAAACTGTGTTTATTAGAAACATTTGTTTTATTTTTCCTTTAATATTTAACATACTTCGGTATACTGTAATTATTTCAAACTAGCTTTTTGCTCACTACTTCATTTGTGTATAATTTAGAAGTAGGAACACGAATGGAATAGATAACTTCTTCTAGATGACATATTAAAATACACTCTTTTTTTAAGTTCGATCTTCTGAAATACAACTGTGAAAACCGTATCCAACTTCGAGCAGTAGTTTTTGCGTGATGCTGGAACAAACATACATACAGACATAAAATTTCTAAAAAAAAAAATGTTATTTTGGCTTTTACAACTTTAATTCAGACTCCATACATTAAATTTTCTCAAATTTCCTATATACAGATATCGTCACGTTACAATTTTATTATAATAGTATTATTAACATTCTCTAAACCAAAACATAATCTTTGTTTAGTTTATATGTGCAAAATGATGATTATTTACTCTAATAGATTAGAATCTTTTTTAGTTGTTGTTTTTTTATTTACGTAATTTTATTATGTTTACAAGAGAAACATCATTAGTTGTATAGTTTTAAAAGATTATTTTTGAATACTCATTAATTATATTTAACTCTCATAAATTATATTTATGCTTTTAGTTTCACATCAATCAACACACTGGTGCTAAACCTTACAAATGTCCCTTCTGTGAAAAGAGCTTTGCTAGTTCAGGAAACTGTTACTCCCACCGAAGTCGGATGCATCCCGGTAAATGCCTTGATAATAAAATGCGACGTCGTAATACATCAAGAGAGTATAACCAAGTGTTGACTACACGACCCATTGCGCCAAAACCACCTCTTATTGCCGTCAGAGGGATCTTTAAATATCAATGCACCATGTGCGACCATAGTTTTATGAAGAGAGATAATTTCACTGTAAGTATAATGTCAGCTTTATATTCAAACTACTAGCCTTTCATTTATGGAAATACTGTTTCTCACAGTTTAGCACGTTGGCTGTCAGTATGTAAAGTATCTTATATGTTTAATTTGGATATAACATCGGGTATGTTATATCCTAATTTATGTAATGTATCAAATTTATTTCAAATCCGTTTAGTTGTTTTTGCTTAAAAAAGTAACAAATATTCGTCCATACATTTACATTAACATTAGCATTTATACTAATGTAAAATAACCAAACGGAGAAGAAAATCAGATACAGTCCAACATTTTAGCTTTTTTAAGGCAAGCCCAGAGTGAATGTTTTGTTACAAATCGTAGGCGTATTTAAGAAAAGAACCGGGTGGGCCATGTCCACCCTAGGATCCGAACAGAGCTTCACAAAGAGATGTCCGCAAATACATATATGCCTTTTTAAGGGGTCCGACTTACTCTGCAAAATAACTTAAATACATCAAGATGAATGAATTATTAATCTATTATATAATTTAAAGAGGTTATATTTAAAGATTATATCTTTTTTAATATTTTAAAAGGCTCGCTTACTAGTCTAAATAGTTTTTAATTAATGTTATATATCATGTCATCATCATCATCATATTAGTTCTTAATGGCCCACTGCTAAACATAAGCCTTCCCTTGGGGGGTTTTGCCAGTAGTTTCCACGCTTGGCAGGCGGATTGGTAATCGCAGTTAGGCTATAAAGATATTTTAATAGGGATGCTGCAGCCAATCTCGCGCCCTCCCTTAGTCGCCTCTTACGACATCCACGGGATGTCGTCGATTCTTCTTGGAGGCACTTCTATTTATTGATATATCTATTATTTCTTTTTCAGTATCACATGTATCAACACACTGGAGAGAAACCATTCCAGTGTTCATTTTGTAATGAGAAATTTGTAACAAGAAGAGGCCTTTTATTACACCATGACAAGGAGCATCCATCAAAGAATAGGCCTTTGGCACTCTTAACTAAAAATATCTTACTTAAATAATATTCATAAGGACCTAAAGTGATACGATAGTTTGTTAGTATTTGAGATTGGCGAATATAAGGCTGCATCGTTGCTATACTTAATAATTAAGTAGACACGTGAGAACAATATCAAATATTAATTAAATACATAGATGTTGAAGATACAAAGAATGAAATGAATGATTTTTTGGTTTCAAAGATTTTTTAAATTGCTATTTGTAAAGCAGAGAACAATTAAAAACGTGCATATGTTATAAGCATCTGTGTGCTATGGTAACTGTTAAATCAGACAAATTCTATAAAAGATTGGCATATTTTCCAAATTTGTGTATTTTCTTACTTTTAACTTTTATCTCTTTAAGTACATGTTAATCAGAAAATATTGTATTATTTGTATATTGTTATAGTCTCTCTAACTACAACTAAAAAAAAAAACAGATTGATATCTAGCTGGCACTTTATCCTATACTTCCATGATCTGAACAAGTGTTGATAGGATCAGTATTAGGGAATGTTATTGTCTGACAATTGATTGACGCATTTGTTTTAATTTTTGTGTTTAGGTAAGAGACAGATAATTATTTTTTAAATAAATTCAAATACCTCATTTGCAATGTGTTTTAATCTATTAGGTACTATTACTACTCAAGGTCCCCCGTCTGATATATTGGCTACATTCGTTATTTATTATTTGGAAATACTGATTATTAAGATGACAAAAAATATATATGGAGAATCTTAAAATCTTATAGGCCTCCACCACAGATATGAACTAATACTTAATTGAAAATCTTTCAATACTCAAAGTTGCAATTAGACTAAACTTCCGAGTACTTTTCATGGAGCAAAGTATCCTATCCCAAAAATTTACTCAAGTTTCCTTAGCTTTTATACAACTTAGATTAAAATCTATTCTCTGATTATGTAGAAAGAAAGTAAAGAAATGAAGTGATTTCTATTCTATATATATTTTCATGACCAGTTCTTTACGCGAAGGTAGAGGCCTTTACATACCTATATACAAATTTATTTTATTGTATTTTTATAACTCGTCTCATGCATCCACGTCGGCTTTAAAAACAGTACAGAGATAGAACTTTTAATACATTTTTATTCAAGGAAAATTGAGTATTATTGAATAAAAATTTTCTTGTATGATTCTATTGCTTAATTTTTGCTATCGTTAGATGGCAGTTCATGGAATTGAAATTGGAAAAGTATGTGCTACAAGTATACGTCAACGAGGTACCAATAAGAGATGATAGATAAGAATTAAATCAGATCCAATTGTGACAAATTTACCAAAATGAACCACTTGTTTCCAGGATGCACCGATTGACGGTCCATCTGATGTATATGTAGCATATTGTTAATAGTACAAAAGTTAAACCTATGGGTAAACTCTACTACTAATAATTGGTTTGTCGGGGCGAGGGGGGCAGTCTGCATCAAATGTCAGTAATATAACGTATCCAGTATAAAATTAATTAATTGATAATGCGATTCAATAAATACTATCAGTTTATTCCAGAGTACTGATATCGAGTGACAGATCGTTATTTAAAATTTAGATTACTTCGATTAATGTAAAAAAAAATAATGTTGATATCGACGATTATATCAACGATAAGGGTTGTATAAACGCTGCAAAAATATAGCAATTATTACATATTTTATTTTCCTATTCCTTAATCATGATTACCTCATATGTTTCATAATTGAAAAAAAACTCTTCACTCTTATCCTACACTCATCCTCATTTTGCCAGTGATATTAACGTAAAAAGAAAAGAGGCAATCATACAGTTCACTGCTTTTATTTTATCCATTATTTATGATATATATTCTTATCCCATTATTCATAGTTTTATTATTATTAAAGTAGGTATTTAACTATTTTTAGTAAATTAAAATATATTGGTTTGACTAAAATTTAAGTAATTAGTGCTCTACCTAGGTGTAAAAAATTTAAACAGATTTTTAATTAAACTAGTATTCATCAGATATGTACTTAGGAGCTTTGATCGATTAAATATTTTATTGCAATTTCAGAAAGAAAAGTCGATTTTTTTTAGTAGTAGGTAGTTGATCCAGCCAGATACTATTTAAGCTCGTTAAAAACACAACTAGAACTTGAAAACTGTTGTATTTGCGTTAGGAGTTTTAGATGGACGATCGGCGCTTTATAGAATACTACAGTTGAAATATCATTAAAAGAAAAAAAATTAAACATAACTGAATATAAACAATTATTGACAGTGAAAAAATATCAAAATGATTATTATGTACCTAAGTATTTTAACTCCTTATAAACCCAAAAGTATGTATATTTTTATTAAAACTGTCAAACTATCAACTGTCACTGTCATTAGTATTCGCTACAACGCGCAGAATAGATATAATATAATCTGTGAAGGAAATTGAATGAATCTTTTTTGATATTTATTTTTTTTTATTTTATAAAAAATGTTTCTTTTTCAAGTCTCTTGCGTGATTATTTCCTGAGTGTACTTTTAACGACCTTCGATTATGACCTCTAAAGTTATGTAGGTAGTCAATAGGAAATTTGTACGCATGCGTAAAGTACATTCTATTTTGTCAAATTGTGTTTGGCGCGCTGATAAGCACGAGCTCTTGATCACAATGAAACAATTTTTTTTAGTCGCACGACAGATAGCATACATTCTTCACGTATCAGTTTGTATCATTTATGTCTTTACTTGCAACGAAAATGTCTAGTGATGATTTGATTTGTAGTAGAAAAATGGCACGACAAAACGGAATTGTCCAACCTTTACTCACTGGTAAGTCATTCGGATTATTATTTTGGAGCGAATTTCAAAAATCTTTTATTGACGATTACTCGTTCATTTGTAAACTTCTATCTATATAACATTGATATAATAAAACAGCCCCACATTTAATTACACAGGTAATTCGTTTCTACTTCTGTTTTTATTTATACTGTTTTTAAAAGAAAGACATTTAAGTTTATTAGATTTTATTGTTTTCTACCAATGTTGCTTTGCTACAAAATTGGTCACAATAGTACCTATTTAGTTAATTTTTGATTGGGGATTCTTACATAAAACTCATGTAAAAAGCTTAGAATATTGATAGAAACAACATTAGGTTAGGTGGTGATAATAAACAAACTTTATATTAAAAAGTGTTTTGTTACAGGAATTGGTTTGCTATCAAACATTAATTGTATTTATAATTATGTATGATTACTTTTAGTATAGAAAATCTTATATTATCTATTTATACATTTGTGATTTTTTGTAGATTTAGGCAAATAATGTATTAATTTCTTAGTAATTCTAGCCATGAATGTGGATGTAATATTATACTTATAAAATTTAGCTGATTCTTGATGTTTTAAAATGAAAGCATTCTTTGTGTTAAGTTAGGATATAACTCATTTATGTATTAAATTTAATTCACACCCATTCTGCTGTTTAAGCATGATTGAGTTAAAAACATACAAATATCCAAACATTACAAATTATTATGTTTTATATTAGTAAGATTACAATAATGTATATATAAAATTTAAAACAAATTTAAATCTGTTAATCTAATTAATTTTGTATTTGTATGATCCACTGTGATTTATAGTTTTTAAAACTTAATATACATAACTGATACTTTATTTATTACATCTTACGTTGGCAGTAATACACATACTGATGGTAGTGGAATTAAACAAAATAATTCTAATCAAAAAACTAATAATATTGGTCCCCAAATAACACTTAGTTCAATAAAACAATTTTACATAACTGATAGGTTCTTATTACAATTATTTATTAATTGATTGCAATAAGCTCAATCAAACAAATAATCATTATAAGAAATTGACAGTAAATACAACTTTAAAAATGTATGTAGTTTTGTATTTTTTCCTTTAGGAGTAAAAAGATCTTTTAATGCTACAACATGTTTTGCTTGGGGTTAATACAGGTAGTTCAGGATGACCTTGTGGCAGTCTAACAAGAATACTTTTGTTTGATAATGAAACAATTAAAATATACATTATTATATAATTAATAGTATATTATATAATTATATAATATATATAATTATATTATATATAATTATATTATACATATATATTCTATAGCTATTATTGATACAGTTTAATACTTATCATATTATTTTTGCACTATGTATGTTATGTTTTATATACAATTCTTATAGATACTTTCTCCTTTTGGGGTCTCAGAGTTCACTGGAAGAAATTCCTTCAATGGATGTGTCTGCCTGTGTTTACTTTTATTATAACCTGATATCTACATTAAAATTGAATGTACATTTAAATAAATAAATTTTCTTATTTTCTCAGATCTCTATCAGATCACCATGGCATATGCTTACTGGAAGTCTGGTAAAGTTAATGATGTTGCAGTTTTTGATTTATTTTTCCGTACAAATCCTTTTCAAGGCGAATTTACAATATTTGCTGGACTTGAAGAGTGTCTTAAATTCTTAGAAAACTTTCATTATTCTGATAGTGGTTAGTATTGTTTTATTACTAATTATTTAAAAACATCTATTAAAAAGGGATTTATCATACACACATTATTAATTTATATTAGTAACACTATGTACTTATTTGTACTGTTGTTTAGTGTAATGCTGAAACAGGAACACTTGAAATATCTTAAATTTTTACTGTCAATGTTTTTTATTATATTTTAAAATACTAATTTTTAATCTTTCGATCAACAGACTTAAATAGAGTTATGGTGGAACAATTAGGAAATTATAAGTCAAATGAATGAAGATATACAATCTCTCATTTATTTGTCTAATATTTTCCAAATTGTTCCTAATAATATAAATGACTTTGTAGTAGAACTCTATATCTAGTTTCAGATTTTTAAATATACAAGTATTAATTGGGAATTTTATCTGCACTTATGTTTGATGATGATGGGGTATGAGCAGTGGTGTAACTATACCATTTGGGGCCTGTGGCAAATTCTTTTGATGAGGCCCTATCAATAAAAAAATAATACTTTTCACATAAAATAAAATACTCAGGTACAATGCAAAAAAAAATTGAGCCAGGGCCCTTTTGGATCGGGGGCCCGTGGCATTTTGCCAGCCCTACCACTCTATTGTTACCCCACTGGGTATGAAAGATGATATGTGATGATGAAATCAGGTTTATTAACTCATACTGATAAAGTCATCCAGCTCAACCAGAAACCATGGAAGCTATTGTGGTTAACTCCTAATTAATTCATCATAATAGTACTACAAACTTCATTCGCATTTATTATCCCTCTCTAGTGCTCCGCCAGCGTAAACTTATGGTGCAAGCGAATTATTATTCATATACAAAACATTATTACATTACAATTATTAAAATAGAATGAGTTTTCAGATATAGAATATTTAAAGCAGACATTGCCAGAAAATATAGAACCAGAGTTTTTTGCATATTTAAAGGATCTAACATGCAAGGATATTAAACTGAGTGCAATTGAAGAAGGATCAGTCGTATTTCCAAGGTTGCTATTTTTAATACAAAATTTTATGTTGTTTACTTAGTTTGTGTTTATTATTTAAATATATATTAAGTCCTAATTAGTAAGCTGCAGTCAACAAATAATTTCCTATTATTAACAACCTAATTTACCTTGACTTATTTTTTGTATTGTTATGATGAATAAACATAGTTGATTTGGTACTGCATTGTTAGATACCAACTTCTTAACAACAAACAAGAGGTGTGGACGTGTTTTAAAACTATTGTTGAATCCAGAGTTGTGATATTCTGGAGCATGCATGTTTTTTTTTTATACTAACTCGAAACCATTGTGAGCTATGTTCTTTATTGCGCAATGGTTAGATTAAACTGCATTAATTTAAATCGAAAAACATCTAATGTCGAATCTTAACAATATATTTTTGTAGCATATTTCAAATGGAGCTAGCAAAAGGCATTACCCTGTTTTTGCAATAATGAATCTTAGGTACAAATCATTTAAGATTTTATTGTAAACACAGATATAATCGCATAGCATAGTGACATAATTTGTGTGTAACCATCACTAGGGAATATTTTTCATCAAAATGTATTCTAAATTCGCAAAGACATCGTATAAAATAAATTCAAATTAAGAATCTCATTTTCGAAGTCGGTTAAAAATTTAGTAATATTTAAAGTTCAATAAAATTGCAGAGTACCGTTGCTGAGAGTTGAAGGACCCCTGATAATCGCACAATTACTAGAGACAACCCTATTGACCCTGGTTAACTTTGCAAGGTAAGCATTATAATGTAGTTAAGATAAATGACTCACACAAAATATGACTGCATCGCTAATTTCATTGTACAACTTTGAGTATCTACTCTTGTCTGTATCATATGTCGTCATAGTAATATATTCAATTAGTATTAAGTCATTAGGAAACGATGTGTGAGATCGTGAGTTGCAAAAAAAGGTTCTTCAAATTTTTTTTTCTCACGTAGTATTTTAATTTACAATGACCATGTGAAAACTGAATTACCTAGAGATTATATAGATTAGTATTTCTGATATAAGAAGCGTAAACTGATAGAATTTACAGGTTATCAACTCCATAATTATTATTTTTGACAACAATAAACCCTTTTTAATTATATCATATCAGTTAGAAGTAAAAAAATGTAATTAGTAGATTTCAATTTAATCTTAAATTTTAGTTAATAAATTTGATTGATTTCATACCTAAAACTGGTGACGTTAATCTATTAATTGTTAAAAATTTTAAATAAAAAGCAATTAATCATAAAACGTAAAGTAACACACGTGTATTTTGTTTTAGAAGTTTTTATAAAATATTTTTCCTCCATCAAAATCCAACATTTTGTAGTTTATTTTACTATTTCAAAAATATTGAAATCTGTTTATTTTAGATACCTGTTTGACAAGATTAAATTTCAGTAATAGTGTTTGACGTAGATATTGCGTAATGCAAAGAAATAATAAGAATATGACGTTAACATAAGTTCGGAATCAGTTCGAGAAATCACAGTAATAAGTTATAACTTATTTTCACGGTAAATAGATCTTTGGGTCTCCGTCTTCCATCTTTTGCACCCTTTTTTTCCGAACTACCTAGATAAATTTACTAATCTATTGATTTAAAAATCGGTGCAAAAATGTGATTATTTTAAGATACTAATAACATGTAGGTGATTTTCATAAATATTAACTATCTACAGGTTGCATGGAATGTTTTCTTATAATAGAAAAGATTAGTATGTAATTTATGATTCTTATATGTAAAATATACACCAAGTTTTATGTTGTAAATATTAATTTAACGGTATTAGACCAGCTTAAAAATCCATTAATAAGTTACAGCTGTTTATTAATTAACTAATTAGTAAAAGAGTTTATTAAATTGAAATACTTGTAATATCATTAGGTACCAATTACTCCGGATGGATTTTAACCAAATAATATTATCTACTAATAAAAATTTTGTTGTAAAATTTCGATGAAATTCTATCAGTTATTTTCTTGTGATGACTTAACAGACTAATAGGTATTAAGTTAAATTCAATAGCTGGAATTCATTGTTTATTTCTAGTAAATTTATGTGAAAAACTTATTAACGATTTTAAATATTATAATTAATATGTCTATTAATAATATGTAGTAATAATATGTCTTTGGCTCTGGGCGACTTATACCTTAGTCGGATTATTACGAAAATTAAAAAAACAAAGAAATAGCTAATTCCGTCAAGAATTTCTCAATTGATGCATTTACCAACAGACTGCATTTAATTTCTATTTATGTGTCATATCTAGCTTTTTGCCCGCTACTTTGTACACGAGCATTGTAAAAGTAGCAAAACCAATTATTTTTACCTCTTCTCGATGGGGTATCAATTTAAGACGTCAAATCTTAAGTTACCCCTCAGAAACACAACTGTGTAAATCGCAACCAATTTAATGTTGTAGTTTTTGCTTTATGCCGGAACAAACATACTTCCCATATATAGATATCGTATGGTTACTATTTTAATTAGTAAAATATTGACATACATAAGTGCATTCGAAAATTTGTAATTGATTAATAAAGATATGTTTCCGATTTATTACTTTGTTCATGATAAAGAATAATTTTGCAGATAACTGTTTGCATATTAGATACCTACATATCTAACGTTATCATCAATAGTCAAGCTTGACTGGTGAAAATAATTAAAGCCTATAGATAAAATATCGTTTAATCGATAAAATAATCGTGTTATCATTTAGAAGCGAATTTTTTAATAATGAAATAATTTGTTCATTCTGATTACTGTCCAGAACGATTATTATCAATGATATTTGTCAGGGGGGTAGGTACTATGTTACAGTTAATTAAGCAATAGAATTATCGTTCAAAGGCATTTATTCTTTTAGCTTATTAAATTCGTGTGTCGCACTGCCAAGGAGGGTATATATTATAGTCGAGCAATGCATATCCTGACACATATTTGGTACAAAAATTGCGTAATTTATAATAGTCACTACTACATAAACATTTCATTTTTACACGCGGAAATGGTACGCATACATTGTATCTATCAGGTGTTCGTTCCTTTTTTAAATGGTTATATTCGGTTCACGGATAAGGGATAAGGTCAGCTCAATGGAGAGGGAATTAAAACGGAGAAATTATCTATTGCGTAATAGGTATATTTTGATAGCGGTGAAGATCTTGCATAAGCATAGATATTTTATTTTTAATATTTATGTTAATAACTTAATTGAAGGAGACTCCCGGTGAACATAAAATTACCGTTATGAATGTATATAGACAACGTATAGATTTATATTTGCATGTAGTAAATAGAATGTAAAATAATCCTAATTTATTTCCGTCCAATAATAATACAATAAGTACCATCAAAAACAACCAACAATCAAACTGAACCACCCAATTGATCCAGATAAAAATGTTAAAAATTTACTTTATGTATTCCATCGACTGTCATTACTATTGAGTGGTAACTATTGTAAAACCTCCATACAGTTGACATGGTTTCAATATTACTTACCTCATAAATTATTTATCTGCGAATAGTCGCATATTTTTAAGTTTGTTTCCATTATACATCGTGACAGTAGGTGTGGATAATTGGATACCTATTGAATTGATTACTAGCATATTGTAAGTTTTGAGTTTTTTTTTATGCACCGAAATTTAATAAAGTACTACGTGATAATTCCTCATAGGACAAATTCGAAATTCCTCAATGGCAAAATAATTTAAAATTTTTCGGCTTCTACTACTACTTTTTCTAATATTACACAAAGCTTTCTGACGTAGTCTACCGATCGACAGTTCGATCTACTCTCACTGACAATTATTTAGGTCTGTATACAAATTTCATTAGAAATTTAAAGGATTGGATTAGACGGTATTCAATTTGAGAACCTATCATGAAATGTTTTCCGTAATTTCGGGGCCGAACGAAACACAAATTTAATATTAAAATTACATGGCGTTTAAAAATGTTAAAATATCGTTCATTTGGACTTATATGGTAGGATTTATGATTAACGAAATGTTAATCTCTATCTACTAGTTCGTGTTTTTGTTTATACCGTTTTCGGTATAAACACGGACTTGAGTCCGAAAATTAAAATTACATTTCATGTTTGACACCCTAGAATCCTCCGTTAACGTTGTTTAAATTTGTACCATTGTTACAAACTCAAAATTCAAGGCTTTAAAGTGGTAACTTCAAACAGGTAACTATGGTTTACTAGTACTACACACGAAGTATCACAACGATAACATACACAGTCTCACGAAAAAGTTACCATGTTTTAAGTTCTATATTGTAGAAGATAAATTTATCTACAGTTGGTAAATAACTTTATTCTAAACCATAAAATGAGGTGCATATTTCACACGACTTTTTTTTGTGAACACAAATGCTATTATGAATGTGAGGATAGTATTATATTACATCACTGCCCTAACGGTGCGATATGGGATTTGGAGTTTTTTTTTATTACACTGGTATAATGTGTATTGCCTTAGCCACCTTAGCCTTTAATAGTCACCATATCATATTAACCAGAAATTTGTAAAAAAATATACGAATAAATAAAATAAAAATAGTATTGCACGTTACACTCTTCTTAAAAAATATAATAGCTGTAGGTATTCGGTGCATATCAGGTTAATTATTTATTTAGTATTAAGAATTATATCATAGAATAATAATAACTACAGTATGGATTTCTTCAAAAAGGCGGTGTTAAGGTTTCTTTAGGGTCGGTAACACGCACCCGTAGACCATAGTGACTGTTTATCATCAGACTGAATGTACGCTTGTTTGTCACCTTTGTGGTACAAAAAAAAAATGTAATTTATAATAATATCATATAATATTAATTTCTACCAGACATTCAAAGGTTGACGGGAAGAAATCTCTTTTATGAAAATAATCCGCCATTATATGCATTCTTAAGAATTCCGTATTCCATAATTTTTGACATTACTGTACAGTACGTTGTACAAACAAACAATTTCTAAAATCCTAATCGTTGTTTTCATCACCTTGTATATATAATATAGTTAAGTTATGGGTGGTAATCATTGATTTATAAAAAATCAAAGAGGCACTAACGGATTCTAAAAAAACTGCATTGAAAATAACCAAACACAAATTACTTAAGCAAATTTTGCATTTATTTTTATGCATCCAATGATGTTTATAGTTAAATGAGTTGAAATACTCTAACAATTTTTTTTTTCAAAATCTGAATTCTTCCGATATTCATATTTACGGCAAATAATCAACTCGTTTATTTATTTAAAAATTTCGGGACACTTTGATGTAACTTTTGTTTGAGAATGTGAGTATATTTGTGACGATTTTTTTTTATATCAGCGGTGGTAATACATAATATTTTTTGTTTAGTTTAATGGCAACGAATGCTGCGCGATATCGTATGGTGGCTGGAAAACATGTGTCTTTGTTGGAGTTCGGTTTACGAAGGGCGCAAGGACCAGACGGAGGTTTATCTGCATCCAAATATGCATACATAGGTAATTATTTCATTTCATTTTAGTTAAATAGCATAGTAATTTATTACTTCAGATTCTGTGTCCACGTGCAGCCTGCATCATCTCAAGTTATAAGGCAACACCGTTACCAAACTACATTTATCTGAACTATATTGTGATGGTAGACTCGTTATGTTTGTAAATTGAATGTTCAAGATAAACAGCAATGTTACCACTATAGAAATATATTACTTACAGAGTACACAGTCGTAACACCTTTGTCCTCAGGAATGGCAACACATGAAGGGTATCATGGGCGACACTAAATACCATGATACTGTTCATGTCTATAGACGACGGCTACCACTTTCCATTAGGTAGGCCGTCAGCTTGTTTGCCATTCTAAGTTCCATAAAAACATAGTACTGAGTATAATTTCTAAACATTACTATCCCAACTGGGTTTACCTACCGTTGTTAGCATATCTATCAAATTACCTATTTACAAATATCATCATATTGATATGAAATAATTTCAGACTTTGTTCCGTAAAAAAAGACTTGTTCGAGTTAAAATTTCGGTTTGATATTATTTTTAGAACGATTATTGTACGTTCATTAATTTTATAGTAAAATTTCGACAGAACTGCTTTACACTTGATTATGATCCATACCATAATAATTTTGCTAAACTATCCAAATTTTAATTTTAGAGAATAGTATCGTGGGTAGTTTTAATCTCTTGTACGAACTGCGTTTTATTATTTAATAAAGTTTATTTATTCTTTGTTGTTCACTTTTAAAATCTATCATTAGGTTTCTGGTTAACTGCTAATATGAAGGATCCGTTATATCTGCCCTACATTTAAGTTTTCCCATTTCAAAATTAATAACAAGTTGCCATAGCATGAGTCACCTCGGTACCATGCTATTCCCTCTCGAAGACAAAGTCCGCAGGAGGATAGCGTAAATTAACATGTTTTTGTATTGATTATAATAGCGTGTTTCCGCGGCTCGGCGGCTGTAACCGAGCTCCCCCGTGCCTGGTACAGAGCACCGCGCTTCAGACCCGTGCAATATAACACACCCCACCGTGCTATTGACTCATGAGAAGCCTCCAATATCGAATACATGTTTATTTAATAGCTTTAATCAGGCGACTCAGCGAACCTTGCCCTTGGACGCCTCGACTAGATAGTATTTTTTGAGCTCCAACGAAAATGAAATTTGTCTAACATTAACATGTTTTCTTCATTACAAGTAATGTAATATTAATACGAGCTAAGTAGTAAATCAATTTCTAATATAATGTCTGTTTGTTACGTTTTGAAGGCTAAAAGTTTGAACGATGCAAGTACGTCACATAGTAACGTAACGGTATTAGTAGATATACGGTAGTTGTTAATATTTCGCTAGTTGTACTATTCGGTTTGTTGTTATATAAGTAGTATTAATAAAATTTACACTTATCTTTTATTGATTAGGAAGTTCTCGCGTAAATGTACGATATTATACAAAGATAAAGTACATAAATAATTCTTTATTACTTGTCAATGTTTATTAAAATATTATAAACAAAACAAAACGTTTTCAGGTGGTTTTGATGGCACAAGTAATGTGTTAGCTGGGAAAATGTTCAACATACCAGTGAAGGGGACTCACGCGCACTCGTTTGTGACGTCGTTCAGCACGTTAGACGACGTCAGTTCCGCGACGTTGAGTCACGCGGAGACACGGGCGCCGTGCAACTTGCTACAGCTGGCATCAGAGTGGCGCAAGAAAGTCTCCTCCATCATAGACATATCCCCGGAAGAGGCGAGCGACGGCGAACTGGCCGCCCTAATATCATATGCCATTGCATTCCCGTCAGGTTTCATGGCTCTAGTGGATACGTACGATGTCAAGAGGTATAATTTTCAAGGCTTACCATCACGACACAGGCAGCGTATCAATGGGCATTCTGGCTACAATAGCAACTGTGGACCCAATGGTCCTAGAATACAAATATCACCGAGTATAGATAGTACATATGGATATAGCACGGTCGAACGCACACTGAGGTAAAATGCAATAGACAACTCATATTGACATTTGGTGTCTGATAAATTTGTATTGTTTTGCATCGTTCATTTATGTCTAAGTTATGTGGATTTTGATTATAGTTAAGAATTACATATCGAAAGCTGGCCTGTCTGTCCAGTTGTTGCCATTCATTTTACATTTACTTATTCATCGATGGGATGGGCATGATTAACACACGGGCGGGAGGTAATAGTTACCAACAAGCACACTCGTAACTACACGCTGGGACATCCCACGGGGCCGCTCTAACATGAAACTCATGGCCGTAGTACGATTTATTTTATTTGGCTTTTTCAGTGAAGCGTATATGGACGGCGCTTCATAATAACAACCGAATGTAAATATACGAGAACACAACCGAGGAGACCTTATATTTGCTTCAGTGTGACGTATTGTCCTGGACCTATGAGCAAGATTAGGGGCTACCTTAGTCATTGGGCACAGTTGCATTGTATAGGGATATGCATAATTCACAGTATTTAATCTATTTGCATGTACATATATTCATTGTATGCCATACATTTGGGTAGCAAGTTATAAAATTATTTCAAATTATTTAGAACTAGCGGTACTTCACTCAGCCATGAGTCACATATATGCAGCGCTCTATGACATCATTTGCATTACTGCACCCACATTGAAATACAGCGCGTAATATTATTCCTACTTTTAGATTGTATAAGAATGTTTAACTTGCTGGCACAGTATACATAATACCAATTCCAAATGCTAGGTAATTGTATTATGCCATATAGTGTAAATGCTTCAATAAGGATATATTCCTATATTTTGTTTAATCTTACTTGGCATATTTTGTAAACAATCAATCTTGTACAGAAATAACTTTATATAACCAATTGCCACTATAAAAATGAGTTAATTGATTATTATTATTTACATAGTATTATCGTGGATTATTATTTTTGTTTACCTGATTTGAAAAATAATAAATATTCTTGTTGAGATTAGTTATAAAATATGCCAAGTAAAAAGGCAGATGATAATGTAAAAGCATTGCACATTATTAGTTCATACATAGAGAGAATGCTTAATATATAAATAACTTTTGATAAGACTTGTATCTGAAAATCTTCACATGTTTGGAATACTTAGGTCATCATCATCATATAATGCTGTATTGCATCGTCTGTGATAATATTGCGGCTTCATATACATTTTCTTTAACAGGAGTGGTTTGCTGAACTTCTGCGCGGTGGCTTTAGCGTTGAACGATTGTGGCTATAGGGCTTTGGGAATACGTATAGACAGCGGAGACCTCGCATATCTCTCGGTACTAGCTAGGGAGACGTTTGATCAGATCGCCAGGGAGTTCCAGTTGCCGTGGTTCTCTAAACTAACTATTGTCGCCTCCAATGACATCAACGAGGAAACCATTCTAAGTTTAAACGAACAGGGTCACAAGATCGACAGCTTCGGAATTGGAACACATTTAGGTATTTATTTTTATTAATTTGTCTTACCGGTCTCTTACGGGTGGGCAGAGAGAACCGAGTTCTAACACACATTTCCTGCTTCATTTACTTCCATTATTCGTCTGTGCATATATGCCAATTCTGTACGTTCTTGACTCTCCTTCAGATAACAGAGATTACACTAGATACATTTACTGCAGCAATTAGGTATTTGAGATGTAACGTAAATAAGCGATTTACATTTAAGTATTTTATGAATTTGAATGATAGTATAATATTTTGTCATAATACCAGGTAAACAATGTTATAATTTATTAATAGATAACATTGAATAATGTCTAGAATAACAAAACAATGTCAGTGGTTTGCCCAAAACAGCAATGAAATTGGAATTATAAATATTTGTACAACAAATGCACAATAAACCATATCAACCATGTATTTTCAAATACATATAAAAAATATATTAAATTAAATAAATAAAAAAAAATACTTAATAATCAATAATTTCGCCCCTAACAAGGATAAATGATGAGTTAGCTGTTTCAATAATCCAGTAATGTTTTAACATGTCACCAAGTACAAAACAGTTCTAGGTTTCGATTAAATCTGATTAAGAAACCATTGAATGGATGATATTAGAATAGTAACCCCGATGAAAAGAATAATAGGTGAGGTGAGGATAAATGGGCAGTTTGGTTAGCTCATCAACTGCTAGGGACTGCAAGGAGATCGACCTGACTTCTATTGCTAACAATGTAGCCCCATTGTTAGAAATTCCTGTTTTTTTTATAGAACTTAGAATAGCAAACAAGCTGACGGCCCACCTGATGGAAAGTGATAACCGTCGCCTATAGACATGAGCAGTACCATGGACATAACAGAGTATACTGTTTAGCCCATGATACCCCCCATGCGTTGCTATTCCTGAGGACTCAGATGTTATTCCTCTGTACCCTATTAACGCCATATCCCACCCTTCAAATCGAAACACAGCAATGCAAACACAACTGCTTCACGGTAGAAACACGAATAGGACAGAGGTACCCAAGCAATCGACTTTTGTACAAAGTGTCCCTCTGGTCTCCTTTTCTCCGTGGTTTTTTAATGGATGATAATGGAATGGTAACCCCACCTAGGCTATTGGTATACACTGGCGGGGCACCAGTGAGGAATAAATGGTGAGGATGAAAAGACAGATCAGTAAGCCTGTCATGACGAATTCAACGATAAATTTGTCATAATACGATGATTTTCAGGGGAAACCGCGTGGAGGTTGATTAGATAAGATATATTGATAGCAAACTAACCCCTTATTACTGACTATCCATTCCCCCCGAAAATCTAGGGTTATCCCACGAGATATTATATAGGTCTCATAAAGGCGTATAAATAAAGTTACATTTTGCTTATTTGTGATGTCACTAATGAAAAATTGTGAATGTCTAAAATGGGTTTAATTTAATACAATGCCATGGCTACCTTCGTGAGCTGCCTGTTTTAGGCTTTATGGTGTTATAGCTCCATATTTTACAATTTTGCTGTCATATCCCACCATTCTGGCCGAAACATAGTCATGTAATCACAACTGATCGGTGGCAGAAACATTAGGGTGACGGAGTTCCCAAACGGACAACTTATGGTTCAAGTCTGCTTTGGTTAAACTTATCATAAATATCCTTGCAACTGATTCCAAATACAATAAAGTTTTGCTAATAAAATAAACTACATTTACAGTCACGTGTCAACGGCAGCCAGCTTTGGGATGCGTTTACAAATTAGTGGAAATAAACAGTCAGCCACGCATCAAGCTGAGTCAAGATGTTGGTAAAGTCACCATTCCTGGCCATAAAGAGGTACCTAATATGACATTGTCAGTAGTAATATTTCGGTGACAAATCACTAAATGTTTACATAATACGGTGTTTGAAAATGCGATAAGCACGCGATTACATTGTTTTTTAACAGACTTAAAAAAATTGGTTTTAATTTTGTTGGATTTATTTTATGTTTTTTACCTCAACTTAGTTATTTATAAATCGATTTGGAAAATTCTTTTTTTATCTGAGTGGTTCTGTCAGATTGGTCCCATAGAAATATCATTGAAATCGGATCAGCAGTTTGGTTTTTAAATCAATATTATTGATTTTATCACGATTGAAGTCGGGTGTTTTGTGAAACAATACCTATTTATTTCTTGTTGATGTAATAGTTTTTCGTCTTTTTGAAATGAGCCTCTAGTTTCTGCGTTTTTTGTCTTCTCTAACAACAACTAATAATAAAAGTTTATGATTGATTTATCAAAAAATATACGCAGTATTACAAGATATTTATGGGTTGTTTACGCTGCTAAAGTAATTGTTGCGCTTTTGTTAAATATGATAAGTACTAAAAATAATTTATCGTCAATTGTTTATTAGTATATTAATTACTACTCAATTGTAGAATATTGAAACTGATTTATACGGTGCGCAGTATGCCTCATAAAATATACCTATCCTTCACTTGTCGTTTGGTAGATGATAAGAGTTCGCTGATCTTATTAATAGTGTTTTGCTTTTATCGTTCGATGACATACTTATATGATGATACTCGGCTGAGTATTAAAAAACTAAAACAGTTTAATTATATTGTAGCATTAAAATAAACATGAATTTTATTGTAGTCTGATATAATGTGGTTGTAGATTACGTCTTGTTGTTACATGCGCCCATAATTTATGATAACTGTTTATTTCATCAGACGGGCCTTATGCTTGTTTGTCACTTGTGTTATCGTAGTATGTATGTTATAGGCACATTATAATGTCATTATGATACGTATTGCATCTGCTCACAATGAAAAAAAATAGTATTTTATTTTTCTTTAATCTATCTCGCTTTTCCATGGTGTCAGTCAATTTATGTGTCTATAAAATAATTGGCCGTTTCATCGTCCGCTAACATTCATATATTTTTAGAAATGATAATAATAATAATAATTTTGTGTCTAAAACAAGTTCACAATTTTATAAAGTTAACAATTGCTTTTTTGATAAAACGAGACAAAACGAACTATGGCTTAGAAAGTGTGAAATGGTACTTCCGCCTGCGCTATCGGTGTACGCTGGCGTGGTACCAGTAAGAGATGATAGGTGAAGATGATTGGATGAATGAATGAGTATATTTGCATTATACAATATAGGAAATAAACAAGACAATTAAGAAGATGAAAGCAGGTTAGTGGGCCATCGTGACGAATACAACAAGAATTAATCACGATGGTTTCCAGGGGGATCCTGCGTAGAGTGTGACCAGATAAGGATATATTGCTAGTAATAGGACTGACTAACCCTATTACCAGCAATCTTTTCCTCTTCCTCCTTGCAATACTAACTTTAGGTATGCACGCATTTATGAGTGAAACCATAAGAATAAATAACCTTTATGACCTTATGATGATTGCGCAATCTTATAAAAAAGAGATACATTATAATTGTAATAGAAATTATGTGTGGCTTCATTTTCAAAACGATAATCACATCAAAGAAAAACAAACGGTGTATTATATAGAATATTTTCGACGTAAATTCGTAATGAATGATGTTTATGATACATGTATGAATGTGATATATTGTTGAAGTGAATTATGAGACCAGACAATGAGAGATAAGGGTGATACTTTGGCATCAAAATATATGCGTGCAATATTCATATTTTTATGTAAAAAAACTTTTAGGTAGTTCAACACAAGGTCTTTATTTGATAATTGTCGGTACATATTTAATAACCCAATAAATTCGACGTACACATTACTATTGTCATTTAGTTATTCATTATCTTTATAATACCTGTACTTGTTATGTTTGAGATAATGATATTCAATGGAATTATATAGTAGATAATAACAATTAATATCTGAATATTACGTTTTATATTGAACTATGAATATAGGTCATCCTCAATATCTGATAGTTTATTTATTGACATAAATTGTGACTACAGAAATGATAGTTGATTGGTCAAAACAGTGGAGCCAATTCCGAGGCGCCATTTATCTATTTCTCGAAATATTTCGCGAAATTACTGTTTTATGACCATAAAAAACTAAAATTATACTAATTTTGACTTAATAGAAAATTACCTCGTATCGATCTTTACGGTAATGATTTAGCTGTAATACCAAAGTAAAACTTTAATATTAGAGACAGGCTTATAGAGCACTTTAGAATCTATTCTAGTGTCAAATTATTAATACTAAATATCAATCCAATAATTGCAATAACACCTTGCTCGTTAATAAAATAGGAGGAAGTTATCTATTTGTTCTGGTTTTTATTTTACTTTTTAATTTAGTGCCTACTTTTTGAATTTCACTGTAATTATAAAATTATTGCTGTTTATGTCATAACTGTTTTTTGTTTGTCTGACCGTTATTTGGTCACAGCAGAATATCAGTGGTTTATTCTATTGAGAGTAAAGCAGTAAACTAAAATCTGCCAATTTTGTGTTACTATGACATACATATGATTTCAGTTTTGTTACACTTTTATAATTTTTTTCTGCCTGTTTATAAATAGTTTATCTATTTGCTTAAATAATAAATACGTTACAATTCATTATCACTTGTAACTTTAGTGTCGTCGCTATTATGGAAATAAATTGGGTCACTTCATATAGATATAAACAACCAATAAAAATTTAAACATGGAAACCTAAAATGCGTGTCCATATGTTTCTGACGTACTAACAGCATATTTGGACAAAGATGTTGTATATTTAGTTTTAGAGATATGATAAGAGAATGGTACCACGGAATCGGCTATATTGATTTTTAGAATTTTTGCCCGTATGTATATGTGCATATTAAAACAAAAATGACTGTTATAAAACCCATACATTTTGTATATTTCCATTACTAATTCCATATTTTTTTAGGCTTACAGATTATTTGGAGCGGACGGGCATGCCCTCATAGATCTACTGCAGAGGTCTTCGGAGCCACCACCAGAAGTTGGCCAGAAGGTGCTATGCAGGCATCCATTCCAGGAGTCGAAGAGGGCTTACGTCATTCCCAGCAAAGTGGAACATTTATATAAGGTATATACCATTTTATTATTAACATTAAAATATTGTAATTACTTCTAGTCACAAAACTGTGAAAGTGAGTTTGTTTGTTTGTTAATTTATTGGCAAAATAATTACTTGGCAATTTATTGGTTCAACCAGTTATTGGATTTTTTTTTTATATACTATTTGGGATAAAAAGGACATAGGATAGATAATAACTAGTAAAAATAAAGACGCACGCATATTTTTTAATTACAGATGTATTGGTCAGACGGTCATATTTGTATTAAACCAAAGCCATTGTTGGAAGTGCGGGAACGAGTGCAGTCGTCACTACGTACTCTCCGACAAGACATCAAGAGGAATTTGAATCCTACGCCTTATAAGGTATGTTTTGTAATTATTGAAAATTATTATTATTTTAAAAACATTTACAAAATTCAGGGGCGAGTATATGCTGAGGCCATACGCTTTATTATTTCAGCAGTATACACGAATGTCCTTGGTGCATAAGGAGTATTTACTGCGCTGGTGTATTATATTACTGATAAAAAAATAAAATTTTACATTCATATTCTCTATACACAAATTTTTTGTGCACAATAAGACCGAAAATAAAAAGTTGATTAAAGATTGTCATTGACGACCCTTTCAAAAAAGGGAAATTATAAATCTAGTTTGGTGTAGTAAGCATGTTGCTTTACGTAAATAACGTCCGAGGTTTAATTTTCGACCCCATTTTGGTTCAAATTTGTCTCTTTTTGTAAATACCCAACACAACTAAAACTTATACGTACTGACATATAACAAGTTAGTTGTGTTGGGTATTTACAAAAAAGATTCATATTTGAGCTAAAATGGGACCAAAAATTAGTCTATTTATTTGGACTGGTTATTTGCCAGTGTAAATAACCCGAAAATAGTCTGTGTATTACGTGATCTGGACTATAATAACTTTATTTCACCTACTAAAATTTCTAATACGCAGATCTTGCAGAATTGTTATCTGTAGTTTTGTTCAAATTATTATGTTGCGAATTATATCGAGTATAATATAGTAAAATTATATAGATGTATGTATACTTTAATTTCAGGTGGCAGTTAGCGACAACCTTTATAATTTCATACACGATTTGTGGCTACAGAATGCGCCCATTGGAGAGTTATCGTGAAAGTTGTAATTCTGTTAAGTTCTATTGAAAATGAGCTTTAATAATAAAGATCCAGTTGAAATCATGGCAATGTATGTTTTGAGAACATACTAAATAATATTGTAACTGCGATATATAATGTAGTAAGTAATATAATATATTGACTATAGTACATGCACAATTTGTTTGTGATATCGTCTATAATAAAATGATTTTCAACTCATGGGTTAGGGGATCACTTTTTGTTATTTAACTCTATAGTTTCTAGCTAGGTTATCAGTTTGTTAACATACTTTGCTGGTATATTCAGAATTTTAAAGACATTATTTTATTTTGTACTAAGTTTATAAATATAATTTCCTGTTAAGTATCATATATTGGTTATTCAGTACCATTATTTCAAACATTTTTATCATAATTATCATTTATGGCCATTGTTATAAAGAAATATCGCCATTTAAAAGTAATTATTGCATGAACAGACAAAACTATAATTTTTATTATGATTAATTTCTTTAGTTCAGATTTCACCAAGTATACTTGAAATTGAAGATTAATAAGGTCATTCATTATATACCATATTCACGATAGTTCTGTTTTGGCAATAAAATAAAAATGAAACAAATTTAAAAGTGTTCACACCTCATTAAAGAATCCTCTAAGAGAATGTTACGCAAATATTATTTTCATTATATTGTAAGCATATAACACACACGCGATTTCTAATTTGATTTATCTAGTATATTAAGAGAAAAATATAGTACATTCATACATCGTACTAGTCAAATTCATAAAAAATAACAGGAGTGCGTATATATGAAAAAAAAAATACATAACTTACCCATAGACAAGTGAATTTGCATTCCATCTTTTGACATAAGATTTAACCAAAGGATCAATTACGATTTTATTAAAGTGGAGACTTTATTACAAGGCACGTATTTACATAAATTCCTAGCCATAGATCTAAGTTATGTAAGTTCTTAAATATATACCTATATATAATAATTAAATTTATATCTTATGGCTCATTCACGAATCAATGGATAAATATACTTAGTAAATTGTAGAGGGATATTGGGAACTGTAAAAATAGTGTATTTATTGATAAAATAGTGCAGTTAGTTTTTTTTTTATTTGCCTTTTTTAATTGTAGAGATTTTTATTAAGGTATAGTGGGTGTGTTGTCCGCTTTGTGAGTCCAATTCGGGCAATTATTTTGTATCAAATATTAAAGTGTATATTTTAAATATATATATCCTTGATAATTATACATAATGGTAAGGATAAATATAATATATTTATATGCAATAGTTGTGGATAAGATTTACAAAAATTGTACGCATCACAAATTGTTAAGCCATTGGCATCGTTGCAGCGACAATAACGCCTTGTATGATCTTAAGATTAAATATATTTAAATAAAACCATTATAAGATTTATAATCGTCTGCAATTTAAATGTATCTAGCATTTAGAGGAAGGTACAAATAAGGTATAATTGTAAACTCTGCACACTGTATTTTTTTTTTCATTCAAAATAATTATAAGAATGAGCTTTTCATATTGTAATATGATTTCTAGAATAATTATTCGATATCAATAATTCCCAAGATTAATCATAAATAAATGAACCAACAAGATTTGCACGAATTTATTTATTATTCACGTACATGTTTACGTACATAATTGTTGAACACTATGCTGTTTGTTTAGCTCATTCATTAAGTAAATTAAAATAAATTTCTTGTTAAAAATTATATTAAAATTAGTTTCACATTGTGTCTGTAATGACACAATGATGAAGGCTTCAAACATAAAAACTTTGTCTTTCGTATCGAGATTTAAAAGCTTACGTATTTAAAATTATTACTCATTTAAATATTATAAAGTCCATGGAATTAGGTTGTTGACATAATTTTATTTTTTGCGTCTGTGGTTATTTATACGTATTCTCTATTGGATATGGATTGATATGGTGTGAGAGGCACGAAGACCAAAGAAAAAATGGATAAATGGAATTAATTGTTAAATTGGCAAGACAACAGAGAGGGGTGATTGCTAAATATTTTGGAGATATTTTAGTCGATTTTTTATTATATATTTCATTTTTTAATATATATATGTTATAAATATTTACTTTTTTCATGTGCTTCATTTAAGTTTTGACTGATTAACCCATTATGATGAGCAAAAAGTATCTACTCACTATGAAATCATAAAACTTTTCTACAGTGCATCCATTGCATACAGGAGACACTTTCAAATATTCTTCAATTTTGAATTTGGAAACTTAAAATGTTGTATTCTGACTTCTGGTTTATTTATATTAATAATACTATCCAATTATTAAGATAAGAACTGTCGGGTCAAATTATTTATGGATAAACAAGTTATTTGTTTAATTTTACTTTTATATTATACCGAGTACATATGAAGAAACAAAAGAATTGCATTAATATATTTCTTTGGTGTTAGTGAAATTGTTTTCTTTTTGTTACAATTATCTCAACTAGTTTATTGTTGTACTTGTTAAAAGTACATGATATATTGCAAATACTTTGGAAATAAAAATAGATTGTATGTTAATGTAGGTATAGATATATATATAATATATTAGTTAGGTACGATAAAATGTTTTTTTAAATTACACTATTGGTACAAAGCAAAATAAATAAGGATATTTTCGGCATATATTGTTATATTTACTTATTAAAATTATGCCGTTTATAAAAGAATTCTCTGCAATCCTCTGTGTTAATTTCTAAACTAAAAACTTAAAACTGAAAAATGTTAACTCTGGTGTACATAATGTTGTAAACTCAATGTAACTACCATAATATCTATCATTTCAGCCGTTAACTGTCCATTGCTGAACATAAGCCTTTCCCATAAGTGGAGTTTTGTCAGTAGTTGCTACACTTAGTAGGCGTCTTGGCAACCTCAATTAGGTTCTGGAGAGATATTTTAAGAGGAACGCTGTTGCCCAATCCTCTACCATTAAGTACCTTTAGTCGCCTCTTACGATATTCACGGGTTGGACAGGGATGGCCTATTCTATATATATTTATCTTATATAATATCTATACTAGTGTATAATACTTGTTACTAATGTATAATATTTGTTGTAAAAATTGAGGATTGCAGCGGTTTCTTTATTTTTGAGATAGATAAGTACTTATTTATTTGTAACAAAAACGAATGTTCATTACCTATGTGCCTAATTCAAAATCAATATAACGGCATATTATTATGCCATGTGTATGATGCCATGTTCTTTCGTGCACATCCTAGTCGTCTTGGAATCGCTAAGAGTCTTTATACGAATGTTTAAATAAATTTATATTTAAAATTAATAATGATAGTAAATGCACCGGCCTACATTGATGACTAAAACATACTTGTATTTAACGTAAAAAGTAACTAGCTATACTTAAATAGAATATTCAAATGCACATTGTATCATCTTACCAATTTTAATTTTACTTTTAGATGGAAAATTTGGAACTTAGAAAAATAAATAAAATAACTTTTTTATGATTTTATTTCAATTATACACTGCATAAACAATATATCTACAATAATATGTAAGACTAACGCAACTTGCGACTTTCTCTAGATAATAATAAAAAGTCTGGAACACCTTTGTTTGAAACTTTCGGAAAGCTTACCTCTATTCCTAGGCTGATCTATTTATTGCCCCAGGGCCTTCGGTTACCTATCTACGCCACTGTGTATAGGCTAACAATATTCATATAAAACTATTTGCAATTGATAGCATTAGTAGTTTCTGAGATATACTGCTGTGATAGATAGATGACAGTAAAAATCGCACCATAAAGTTTCCTTATACCTTTTCCTACGGCACCCTAAAAATGTCAATAGAGACACACAGATAGTACTAAAATAATTCATAATTGATAATTTGTACTTATTAGTGTTCTTTGTACTGTGATATTAATATTAATTCTTTAACGCTAAAGGCGTACCAACGTAAATTTTTGGCAAATCTCTTTTAAATAAGAAATGTGATAATAAATACGTGTGAAAATAGTAGGTCGTTCTACATTGCGTATACAAGATGCCCCCAAGTGTTGGACCCCCACTAGATGGAATGACGATTTCAAGACCATTTTTTTTAGTGGGTGATGATGGAATGGTAACCCCGCCTGCGCTATTAGGATACGCTGACGGGCCAGTGAGGATGAAGAGGCAGGTCAGTTAGCCCATCCTGACGAATTCCACTAGAATTAATCACGACGGTTTCCAGGGGAAACTGCGTGGAGGTCAACCTGATAGGGTGTATTGTTAGCAATGGGCCAATTAGACCCCATTACTAACAATCCTTTTTTCCCCCTTCTCAAGTACATTGCAGGGAGTTAGTGGATGCAGGTTACTCGGACCATTCTTTAGAACAGTTTATGGGGGAGGCTTATGTTCTGTAGTGGACGGATAATGGCTGAGATGATGATGATGTCAAAAAAGCAGAAAGCAGTTTTATTTTTTTTATTTTTATGTTATAAATAAAATTAATTAAACAATTTACATTATTAATACATAAAATGAACAGTACGTCTGTAGCATGACTTTGCTCTGTGGTGTGAACTTATATTTTCTGCTCTGTTGTTAAATTTGTGGTATCGAGGCTTGCGCAACATCGAACATAAAAAGTAAAATATGTATGCAGCCTTTTTCTGCAATTTTTCGTATAAAATTCCTTGAATTTTATACAAAAGTAGCTAGATCTTTTATGATATCTATAGACACTAATATTTGGGTAGTAGTATAATATGCTTATATTATAAATAGTTGTATAATACTAACAATAGATTATTTATTCTATTGAATTTATACTTTAAAATGGTTGCATAGACTAGTTTTCAGTTTCATTTATACAAATGCAGTGCTGACTCGTAAATAATCTAGTGATTACTCGCTTGTTCTGTGGTGGTTTTGATACCCGTTATTTGACAAGTAACCTAAAAAAGACTGATTTTTTATTGTTTTGTACGTAAATAAATGTAATTGTGGTATTTACAAATATCTAAAAGTGAAAGAAAACAGGATATCCACTTAAATAAGATGTAAGTTATTGGCTTGCCTGTGTATATTAGTTTTAGTCTCATTTGCATATAAATTAAGCACAATATTAATTCTTTTATATAGATCTATATTGTTATTCTTTGTGTACGAAGTTTAAATGAATAAACTTATTATATCGACCATTAAATAATTTCTATTAATTTTAACTAAGAATCTTATAAGTTGCAAGAATGTACTTCAGTACCGGCAAAGTAATTTCGTACATTGCTTATTCAGTAATTGATTACTATAATGGTTGACGCCGACGTTTGAATATAATCAAAGTAAAGGTTATTGACTTTACGTTAATAAACATTAGTTCTAATGTACTTGGCGAATAGTGTGTTTATTGTAGGCTCAGTTTTGATATCTAAATAACCACCCCTAAAGGTGTCCACTGACCAAATTCCCAATATTTTTCTGTCTAAAACGGAATATAAAGAATTGGGAATATTTAATGTATATATTGATACATATTTATATTTTTTATATTCCATTTAAAGACTTTTTAATTGATCTTATATACCTTATAATTTTAATCTCATCTAATCACCATATTGCTGCACTCTTTTCCTTTTTAATTCTGTACTGAGAAATTACCACCATTTGTTACAGTTTTGATCCATTTACTTTTTCCTTTTAACACATATGGCCTGAGCATCTCCATTTCAGCCTTTTAACTTTAGTTGTGATCTCTGCCAATCCTGTTATAGTTCTTAACTCTGTACCTCTTTTTTTGTTTCTTCTTGTGTAACCTAGTATGGTTCTCTCCATGCTCCATTGACATGTTACAAGTTTGTGAATATTTTTTTGTGGTAGTCCCTGTTTGTTTGCCATATGTCAGTATTGGTGGTTGGTATTAAGAATTATCATCACACCAACTGTTAACTGTCTACGGCTCAATATAGGTCTCCACCATAAGGAGTATTTTGCCAGTAGTTACCATGTTTGATGATGGATATATATATATATGTGTATATATATATATATATATATATATATATGTATGTATATATATATATATGTATATATATATATATGTATATATATATATGTATATATATATGTATATATATGTATATATATATATATATATATATATATATATATGTATGTATATATATATATATATATATATATATATATATATATATATATATATATATATATATATATATATATATATATATATATATATATATATATATACAGTCTATAGTTATATTAATTCCCATCTTACAAACCAGGAATTTGAATAGATAGTTTAGTATTGGACATTTTGCTAAATATTTTTTGTATTATAGCCACTAGCACTGAGTGAGCCACTGTAAATGGAATTATTCTAATGCGGTATGTATGTGACGAGCATAAAGTAACCTCTGCACACACACATTGTTTGCTTATAGTAGTGGTCTCATTCTAGCATATTTTCTAGTATATTATCTTCTCGGTGTTCTGTGGTGGGGTTTATTTTTTAAAAAGGAATTTGGGGTTTGACAGTTGTTTAATGATGCATTTAACATCATTATGTGTGTGTTTTGTTATGTAATTATTGTCTCATATAGATATATTTGTAACTGTGATGTTTTTGGACATTAAATACAGTATTTTTTCTTAAATTGATGTACCATACAACAATATTACCTAGCTGTAGTATGTAATGGATGACAATATTCATAACATCATACATTGCCTGGGCATTCTATACATTGACTAAATATTGTGCAGAATATATGAATTATACAGATTATGGGTAACATGTACAAGAATATCTGGCAAGAATAATATATTGCGACCATGTATAATATAATTTTTAGATCAATAGTGTATCTAAAAGCGGATGAAAAACCAATATTATAGTCCTTCAGAAGCTATTTCATTTCTTTATCTAAAACAGTGTTATGTCCGAGGAGTAGATCGAAAATGCAGTGGTCCTATTCTTCAAGAATGGTGGTGGTACCCAAATAAAGAGTTATAGAACGATATTCTTTTTAAATCGCGTCTTTGTCCTGTTTTCGAGAATTCTGCTCAAGCGAGTAATGCTCAAAATCAACCACTTCCAGCAATCCTAATAAGTTGGTTTTCGAAAAGGTTTTAGTACCATTGATCACGTGCATACGCTACAGCAGATTATGCAGAAGACCGAAAAGTATAATCTGTCACCATGTTTGTGTTTGTGGACTATGAGAAAGCCTTTGGCTCAATTGAGGCATTTGAGGTACTACAGTCCCTCCAGCGGTGCTAGATTGACTATTGGTTGAAGCTAAAATTTATTTACAGTAAGGCTACCATATTTATCTGACTACAGAACCAGAGTACGAAGATTAGGTAACGTCATATCCCTAAAAATTCTGCAGTTGCATTGGAAGATGTTTAAAAACACTTAGACTGAAAGAGATATGGTATAAACATCAACGACGAATACATTGCTCAGCCCCGATTTGCCGACGATATGGTAATCCCGGCGGAGTCTCTGGAGGATATCAATGCTATTCTCCATGACCTTAATACTGCTTCTCAACAGTAAGATGAACGTGGATAAGAATAAAATCATTTCTAATGCCCATGTTTTTTTAATGTATGATAAAAAATAGTAAATGGATAGCGGGGCACCAGTGAAAGGTCATACGTGAGGATGAAAAGGCTCAATATATCTTGTCAGCCTCCTCGCCATAGAAACCATAGTGCTGAAGTACGGATGTATTTATCACAATGACCTGCCGTTTATTTCTCACTTATAATCCCTCACTGGTGTCCCACCAGCGTTATATCGTTAACGCAAGCTGACTTGCCATCCCATTTTCGTCCATAAAAAAGACCCATTGCTAGCAATATAGGGCAATATACCCTATATTGCTAGCAATGGGGCTTGGTAGTTCTCATTACTAATAATCCCTTCATCTCCTAACGTCCATGTTACACATATTCCAGTTATGATTGATAACACTACGCTCGAAGTTGTTGACGAGTATGCATATCTAAGACTATTTTTTAAACTAAGTAAGTTCAACTTCGACTGAGAGCTTAACCAACGAATCCTGGGTTGGACTGGGTTGGATAGCATTCGGAAAACTACATCACATCCTCGTATCCAGATTACCTCAAGTATGAAGATGAAGCATTATAACTAACGGATCTCCACCGTACTACCATAGGTCATCGTTAGCAACACGCTAGTGATGACCTACGAAATCTAAACATGGTCCTACACGGTTGGCCGTATGTAAAAGCTGTTGTTAAGTGAACTATAGAAAGGACTATGTTCAGAATTTATTTGCTTTATAGATTCTGAAATGAGGATATTCGCAGAAGAGCTAAAGACAATGTTCTGATTACATAGCTTGAAAAACCGATAACCGATAGACAAGAAAGTTTAACGAGCCGCGACGAGTGTGGACCACTTCCTTTTAAATGGAGAGACGACTTCAAATCCATTAAAGCAAATCAGTAGACGTAGGTGGCTTAGGATCACTCCTTATGCACTCTAGAGGGGACGCATATATTCAGCAGTAAACAGTTAACAGCTTAACTGGTCTCAAGTTTCATACAAAGGATTCTCACAACTGATTTTGGTTAAAATCTTAAATTGAATAGTTAGATTAAATTTATAAGTCAACAGGAATATACGCTTAAAAAATTGATAAATATTTAAAAGGGGAATCGAACACGTTGATTTTAAATAAAAAGTAATATTATGCTAGATAATAAAATCGCCTATGAAATTAACATTTAATTAACATTACAAATCATCGCTTAATGATACAATACATTTTTAACAAAACATCTAGATACTAATTATATTTAAATTATATTCTAATTAATGATTAATCTTTCTATAGGTAGTCGGTCGTAACGTATATGTATCTACATTTATATATTATATAATATTATAGTTTAATATTCATTACAAAAAATAAATTATATCTCTCTTTTTTTTCTGTCGATCTGTTGTATAAAATGCGGAAATATCCGAACATCCATAAAAATTCAATAATCGAAATTAAGAAAAGGCATTGTAAGATCTGAAATCCCGAGAGCTGTATACGTATAGAGCGGATGTTAGGATGCGCCGAGAGGCAAAGAGCGGGTACGGGCGAGCGCATCCGCCCTGCGTCAGTGCCGTCAGTCGCCCGCCGCCGCCCGCCCGGCTGGCAGCCGACATCACACACCCAACATCTTACAAGGGCTACGACTTGTTTACTCTAGTAATATTTACGGATTATATATTAAGATAAAAGTTACACTTATTTAAAAATAATTTGAACACAATTTTGTAAATACATTGTTGAATTAAGTACTTATATAGTCTATTATGTGTTGGCCGATATAAATATTCTATAACTTATTTAAATTTTAATTATGTTTAAAAGTTGTTGTGCTCGTCCGAGTAAGAAAATCAGTAAAAGTAAATCCAAATCAGAGAAAATGGATACAGAGATGTCAGAATCTAATAACATGCAAATAAAAGATAATAAGGAGGATAGTCAAGATAATTTAATACAGGAAAAATGTGAATGTGAAATTTCATATAATGAATCCAAATCCCAAGTTTCCTCGAAAACTGAAAATATGGAAAGCGACAAAATTATAGATGCCGAATGCACTGAAAATATGGAACAAGGCCCACAGGATGGTGATAATTATAATGATTCAGCGAGTAATGCTGGCGAAGTAGATACTTTAGATCAGATGGTTGTTAAGAGAGATTTCACGAAAAAGAGGTTTTCTGTAGATTACAAAAGGAATAGATTAGATTTCAAGCGGTTTTCCGTTGACTGTCGTCAAGATTCAGCCACATTGGAGGAATTGGCACGTCTTGAACAGGAATTAGCACGATCTAATGTTGACGTGCGACCGTTTGTTAGGCGGAAATCTTCAGGTATTCTGAAGTCTACTGCTAGTAATAGTAATGGCATAGCTGAAGAGCAGTCAAGTAAACTCCACTCGTGCTCAGATGATGATGAAGTATTTGAAGAAGCTACAGTGAAAGCGGAGGGTCCAGCAGAACCTCCAGCTACACCAGTGGGGCGTGACGAGTTAGCTTTACGTAGGCACCGCTTTTTCTCCGAACTTGTTTGCGCCGCGCGCGCAGCTGTCGAACATCGTGTTCGCTTTGATCCTCTCGGACCAATTGTCGCTGATACAGGTAAATTCTAGTAAATATAATAAATATTAAAAAATAATACAATTGTTGCCTTGTGATCCCGGCCTAGAATGGGCGCGCACCCCATTCTTTCCCGTGTGTGTCTTGAGAGTCATCTTTTAGGGAACTTAATGGGCGAGGGATGGGTAGAAGCATCTCTCTTAAAACATCACCTAAATCATCCATCACCATCAAAAAGCCTAACTGTAGTTGCCAACTCGCCTGCAAAGTATGGCAACTATTGGCAAAATCCCCCTTATAGGGGTGGTTTGTGTTTAACAGTGAACAGTTAATAGCTGATATGATGATGGATACAATTGATACAGAAAAAAAAGTAAAGGTCCAGAACAGTCATTGTAATCTTATTGGAATATAACGATACAAAATTATTATAATATTTTAAATGAACATTTTTGGATGTATTTAACTTACGAACAAATTAAAGTCAATTGCGTATGAAAAATTTTACGGTTTAACATAGGACTCGTTTTATCCTCGTAATGCGTTCTCATGGAAACGCATTACTAATCTCAAAGTAACAAAAATTGGATACATTGTTTTAATTTATATATTTATATTACTTTCTTCGTATGTAGGTATATAATTCGTCTGTATTATTGATCTTAGACTTTTTAAAATTTGAGGCTTTTACCTATAATTAATAACCATTAATAACCTCAGTGTGATTCTGTATACCTATGCAATATAATTGTTTTTATATAGAGGGAGGGATCGTTCAAGTTGTTTATGGCTGTAAAATTTTGGTGCCTGAGAAAATCAATGCTGCGTGGTTGGCTAATGCCCAAGTTAACATCCTCTAGTTTCCTTATATTCCAGTTCATGAGGTTTGTTGCTGAACTATAAAAAAAAGTATGATATATATTTTAACAAAGTATTCATTAATTTTGCTATTTATTACGGGTAATATATTTGCTAGTGAGAAGAAATAGAAGAATTAACTTGTAAACCACATGTTAATTTTTCTATTCATTAGGGTTAGGTAATTGGGCGCTTAATTTATTACTATTATCAGTTTTTACTGACATTTTTTTACGGTTGTGGTTGGTATCATGTTGTGTAAATGTATTTCGCTTATATATAGTCGTTAGTTGAATGTATTGAATATTATACGAATCGAACGTTGGAAATATTTCATATTAGATACCAACTAATTTCAGAAAGTTTACCAGAGGGAGACTTTGTACAAAAGTCGATTGCTTGGGTACCTCTGTCCCATTCGTGTTTTTACCGTGAAGCAGTTGTGTTTGCATGGCTGTGTTTCGATTTGAAGGGGTGGATATGGCGTGAATTTACAGGGTACAGAGGAATAATATCAGTCCTCAGGAATGGCAACGCATGGGGAGTATCATGGGCGAAACAGTATACTCTGTTATGTTCATGATACTGCTCATGTCTATAGGCGACGGTTACCACTTTCTATCAGGAGGGCCGTCAGCTTTTTTGCCATTCTAAGTTGTATAAAAAAAAAGTACAACGATAAATAAATTCCTACACATAAATTTCATTGCCACCTTATTAGTCTCATGCGTTATTGTATGAACATGTATGATTTTTCTAACACTACCAAAATTATTTTTATTGTTTATTAATAAATATTATTATAACAATAAACGATTGTCTAATAATTTGCGTGAAAGAGTAAAAAAAAAAAATAATATGCTGTAAACTATAAAGTTGTGATAATAGTGTATTCACCAATTATCGTAACTTTTTTACTTATACGTCTTATACATTTATACGACTTATATGTCTTATTAAAAAAATATTTTTAATTTCACTTCTATTAATATTTTTGCACATAAATATTTTGTCCAAGCGTGGTAACTACTGGCAACACTTTCCTTTGATGACGGCTTATGTTCAGCAGTAGACAGTAAACGGCTGAAAATAATAAAAATATAATATATTTTGTTAAGTATTAATAAAATTACAAACAATATTATGTTATCGCAAATACATCAACTCAACGGAAAAAAAAAACTATGTCTCGCGAAACAATTTCTCGTTGACCTTTAGGTTTTTGTTTGGCAATTTTTTTATGAGTGAACTTTCAGGTGTGGGGTATATGTAACCAAAATAAAATGCTTTCGTCGTTTTCCTTAATATAATATTCTGCCCCATGGGACTTGGCTACGATAAAGTTCAAAGAAATTAGTTTTACGAAATAATGAAAACATATGCTCTTTGTATTAAGTATAATATACATGATTTGTAATTATACTTTTTACTTTGATTATAATTTCTAACCGACTTCAAAGAGAGTAAACTATTTTTAATAAGTGTATACCTATAAAATAGATGTTTAAAATCTTGTTACAGTCTGGGAATTTTGAAATTGAATATATAGTAAATATTCTAAAGTTTGGTTTAGGACCAAACTATAATAATTTAAATTCATCATCTGAAATTTGTTATTTATTTCGTACATGGTAAAAACAGTAAACGGCCTTTGTGCATAATGAAAAGTGCAATTGAAATAGAAATTCTGCATATAGTGGAAGACGCTGTCCTAACATCATTATTAGTAGGAAAAAAAAAACTTTATACACATTAATTATGATAAAGTACATGTTTTTGTTTCTGCTTTAATTAACTCTATTGAATTGCATATTTTATTATGAAAACAATAGAATACTGATGTATTAAAATTTCAAAGTAATAATTATCAAATTATACACTGTACACACACTGTATACAATAGAAATTAATATTTCACACTATCCCCAGCTCAATACTAATTAATGAGATATTACCGTAATGTAGCGAAACTGTTGTAGCGTGAAAACTGGATCACAATGGAAACAATATAGCGTTTGTGAATGCGTTTATATGAAAAAGAAACAAAATTTATGTTCTTTGTAGTCTTAAGTAATTTAGCCTTGCACCTTGCAAGTAATCAGAATAACTTTCACGTATATTGGATAACTCTTAATTCTTTAATAATAAAAGAATTCTAAGTAATAAAAGGCGTAATAAAATATTTTTTTATTATCGAAGAAGTCATAAAAGAGAAGACCGTTCAAGTAATGAAGCACCGTTTTCATAATATACCCATTATCCTGTACTGAAAGATATAAATAGATCGGCTAGTTAGTAGGTAAGATCGATTTAAATATTCATTATTACGGTATCAATGTCTTATTGATTGCTTTCGGTAATATTATAGTCTTGTAATTATGTATGGACAGTAGCGGTGGTAGTATCATATCAAGTATGTACCATTACCAAGTATACATCAAACGTCATCGCTACAAGTGAGTCATTCGATGCCTCACTCTGAGGCGTGGATAGTGAATAGTTCCGTTGCTTGTCGAGTTGCTGGTAGAGATTCTAGAGTCTAGAGAACGGGTGACCGGCACCCGCTTGTGATTCACGTACTCGTTCATCCGCTGATTTCAACTCAGTATCCGACAGCGCAAGCGCATGATTACACGCTTATTTGTGAATTACTGATAAACGTGTTTATAGAACAATTGTTGTGTTGTGTTTGCACTGTGCAGTGTCTCTGTTTTATGGATTTTGATTAATTATTATTTAATTATTCTGGTAAGTGTTCCATCAAATGTGTTATAACCAAACGGTTGTACTCGTAATTGTTCAATTTTGCCACAGATAGGTATAAAGTATCGAAAGAGTCCGATTAATTATATATATGTATATAGTTTCCTCAATCTAAATATACTCGTACGTTATTAGTTTGAAAGTAAGAACTATTATAATTTCATCTGTGATACGACTGTTAATCAATCAATTTAGATCGTCGTTAAAGTTTTGTCACCAAATGTATTTTATTTATTACGAATTCTATTATGACCTCTAGTTTAGCTAATATCACTAGTTGCAATTAATTTTGTTTACCACATAGAGTTTGTTGACGAATTGTTATTTTTACCTATACTAAAATTACAATAAGTCCGACCGACTGAGTCATCATCGTTGAGCCGAAACTACTGATGTTATTAAAGAAAAACTACTACGGTACATTCTTTACGAAATAGCAAGGATGTTTCAAAATTCATTCCTTAAGCTTGTTAAGTGGCTGATTTAAATTTGTATGGAAGTTTTTCAAGGCTTAACTTGTAATCTTAAGAATTCGTATTTAGGTTTCTAGTATAAACCTTAAAGCGACGTATTTTGGGTGTAAAATAGGGAACGAACATAGGATAGGTAGATAGTTTATGGAATACTTGAATAGATTTCAAATTTCTGACGTTATCTTGAATGTTTATAATGAGCGAAGCTGTGGTGAATCAATAGATATGTAATATGAAAGAAACCAACCGACTTATATTTTTGATATAACTACCAAGTTAGCTACTGTAAATTAATCCGAAGATTGTTGATAGTTGTATTAGATTTATGTAATACTAGCATTTTGCTTGCTTTTTCGTACGTATGGATTTTAGAAGAAGGAAAATTAATGAAATAGACCACTTTTAGATGACGTACCAAGAAGAAACACACCAAATCTTAAGTAAATTTTCAGGAACACGACTATGAAAACCGCATTCAATTTGGTGCTGTAGTTTTTTGGAGCAAACATATAGACAGGCAAAATAAAAAAAAATTGCCTTAACATATTAATTTTACTTAAATATCTTCTTTTTACAGACATCGTCTATTAACCATTTTATTATGTTAATAAGATTATGAATGTGTTTACATATATCTCATATGAATATTGTCATGTATCTGTTTATTATTTTTACGATTATTCATACGAAGATAAAAATCGATTTGATGTAAAATATTACTAACATATCTATATTACATATTGCAAAATAAAATTGTCTTGACGTCATGAGTTGTCTCGTATCCAACAGTCTCTGATCTTCGTAGAATCAATTCTGTCCGCCATTGTACGTGGTTCACTGATGTGGAAAACGTGCATGCATAGGTCATTTATTAAATGTAGCTTTATTCGGATTTACTTCCTGTAATGTTAGTTAGCAGTGTCGGCACATACTTGCTATTTCCTGTCA